CGACTTGATGGCACGTAACAACAGCAAATAACACCACCTTATTAAATTGAATTTTTAATGATGGATAAATTGGTGTAGAGCACTCAGGATTAGGAGAAGGTGAAGGAGGAAAATCAGCAAGGTTTTCATATCCTCCATTTTTCTTTTTCTCCTCCTCTGATAAAGAATTTTTACTACTAGGAACTTATAAAGGCTCTAAAACAATTTTAACCACAGAGCACACACAATGTACAGACATCAGCAGTAATCTTATCTCCTCTAACATGAGCCCTCTTTAAAATCCTATTTATCTGTTTCCAATTTTTTAAATCTAAGGATCTTCCTCCAGAAACCAAGGACAAAAATAGTCACTTTAATAATACCATACAAGAGGAAGAAACTTTACCTCCATTATGTCTTAACAACTAAGAAAGATTGATATCGAGGAGACTGCCTCATACCTTGCTTTTTTTCCCCTTCTTTTCCTTTTTACCTCTTTTTTTTTTAATTCACTGTGATATGTCATGTACTGGGACAGTTCAGAAAGTTCTTTTCTGTGTAATTTCTTTTACCGAACCTTCACAGCAAACTCAAGCTCCAATCTTTCATTTTATCGACTTGCTTTAGGTCATTATTCAAAAGCCACTTATAGACTCCAGCTCAATACCTTCGGATCCTGAGTAAGATGTATACTACCTTGAGCCCAATGCCCCCCAGCTGCTCTGTGCCTAATTTTCTAAAGTACACCAATTCCTTGCTCAGGACCCTAAGTTGTTGAGCTAGACTCAATTCCAGCTTTCTGTCTTCCTTCTACTCATGTCCTCACCTCTAGGGAGTCTTGTCAATTACACTGCCAAACTGGTTTGGACATGACTCATTAACATAAGAGTTGGTCTCCACTCAGCTGGTCAATACAGAGATCTTACTAACGAGTCTCCCTCAATCCTTCTCCCCATTCATTCTCAACATGATCTTCAGCATTATCTTTTTAAACATAGGAATAATGTGTGTGTGTGTGTGAGCGCGTGTGTGCGCACGCAACAAATGAGCCCTAAGATAAAAATGCTATCTATAAAACACAAATACAACAGTATCAGACAAACTATACTCAGTGAAGTGTTTACTAAAAATATAAAATATCATATACATTCTCTTAACTAGATTCATGTCTATTAAGGAATGAATTATTTTTATTTTTTTATATTTAGGAATTAGATGGCCCATCCTACTTCCTAGTCTATCAATCTGGGAGCTCCACCAAAACCTGTCTACAATGGAAAACCCTTTTGGAATTTGGCATACCAGTGGCAAAGATTTATCACAGTCACCCCAAGTAATTTCAGTACAGCAAAGTGACAGACAAGTGTTGCACAGTGACTGAAAGTAATGAATACCAGAAGAGTGTCTACAGTATATGCAAAGGTGTTTGACTTTGTGTATCATGACAAGTTGTGGCTGATACTGAGAAGAATGAGAATACCAGAGCATTTGATTGTGTTAATGAAGAACCTATACCTGGATCAGTAGGCTGTTGTGCCAATGGAGCAGGGAAACCTTACATGGTTTGGAAGTGGGAAGGAAGCATGTCAGGGCTGTACTCTCTCTATATACCTGTTCCATCTGTATGCTGAGCAAACTATCTGAGAAGTTGGACTCTATGAAGAGAAACGTGGCATCAATATTGGAGGGAGAGTCATCAATAACCTATGTTATGTAGATGGCACAACTTTGCTTACTTAAAGTGAAGACTTGAAGCACTTGTTACAGAAGATCAAGAAATGCAGCCTTCAGTATGGACTGCGTCTCAAAATCAAGAAAACAAAGATTCTTACCAATGGATCAATAGGCAGTGTCATGATGGATGGAGAGGAAGCTGAAACTATCAACAGCTTCCTCTTGCTTGGATCCACAATTACTCTTGGTACAAGCAGTCAGGAAATAAGGAGACTCACTGCATGGGGAAAATCTGCAGTTGGGGACCTTTCGAAATTATTGAGGAGTAGTGATGTCAGTTTGAGGACTAAGGTGCATCAGATTCAGGCCATAGTCTTTCCAATTACTAGCTATGTATCTGAGACCTAGACAGTGGATAAGGATGACAGAAAAAGAACTGACGCCTTTGAGCTGTGGTGTTGGAGAAGAGCATTTAACATCCCATAGACGGCCAAGAAAACAGACAGATATAATTTGAAGAGAGTAAAGCCAGAGTAGTCTTTGGAGGCAAGAATGATGAGGCTTCGCTTCATATACTTTGGACATGTAGCTAGGAGGTGCTATCCTAGGAGAGGGACATGATGTTGGAAAGGGTGGAGGGTCGGCGAAGGAAAGGAAGACCATCAACCTAATGGGCTCTTGTGTATCAGGAAGTGTAAGGATGGCACAGGATAGAACAGTGTTCAGATCCTTTGTTCACTGGGTGACTATGAATCATGCTCAACTCAATGGCACCTAACAACAAGGAATGAATTAAAATCACTAAGTGACTTACTTCAAAAATCCCATACTGTGTTTGTTTGGGGGTTTTGGAAAGAAACAAACATGGCTTCATCAATAGGAGCTACATCACTTATCATACACAAAAATCAACTTGGATAGATCAGAAACCTAAGTATAAAGCCTAAAACTATAAAGAACATAAGAGACAAATTGGGACCAAACTTAGAAGGACTCGCCAATAGTATAAAGAGGCTGTCAAATACAGCTAGAAATACACAACCAGGAGAGAATAAAATTGGTGAATGAGACCTTCTAAAGATTAATTTCCTGTGCACATCAAAAACTTTCCAACAGGGTGAAAAGAATACCTGACCAGGAAAAATCATTTGACAATACTATCTCAGACAATGGTCTCGTAACAAAAGTTTACAGATTAATATAGGGCCTTCACAAGAAAAAGAATGATAACCCAATTACAAAATAAGCAGGAGACATGAAAAGACTTTTCTCAGAGGAAGGTATCTGGTGGCCAGGAGCTACATGAAGAAATGCTCAAAATCACTTGCAATAAGAGAGATGCAAATCAAAGCCACAATGAGATACCATTCTCACCCCAGTAGCAGTGACAAAATTTAAAAGGCCAGTAAGCATGTGAAGAGAAGGGAACTCTCATATATTGTTCGAGGGATTGTAAAATGGTACAACCACTCTGGAAGGCAGTTTGGCGCTTCTTCAAAAAACTGAACAAAGAAATTCCATAGGACCCAGTTATTCCACTGCTTGGAATATACCCCAAGAAAATCAGAACTGAGACACAGAGATTTGGACACCAATGTTAATAGCAGCATTATTCACCATCACAAGAACATGGAAAAGGCCCAAATGTAAAACTACAATAGAATGGACTGAGAAACTGTGGTACATTCACACGATAGAGTACTATGCAGCACTCAGGAACAACAATTTCAAAAATCACTACCTAACTTGGGAGAGATTGGACAATATTATGCTGAGTGAATCCAGTATTATAAGGATAAATACTACATAAGACCATTATTACAGAGAGAGCTCTGTTGGCCTACCGGATAGAAAGTTATGCTACCAAGCCAAAGGTGGGTGATTTTAATCTGTGGTCCTTAGGCCTGGTTTTAATTGTTTTTTATCATTCTTCTAAGTGGTATAGCACTGGTCTGTTCATTTGCTATAAGAGGTAACTTGTGGTTGCTGAAATGCTAAACACTGTGACACTGATGTGTCAAATGTGATAATGGTTATCCATGGTGGATAGTGTTTGGTGGAGCTACCTAGTTAAAATAAGCCTGGAAGCAGGAGTGGCATCCACTTCCGAAATAGCTTGCCTCCAAAAATTCTATGAATGTGGAAAAACAATTAAAGTTATATAAGTGTTCAGGTCTTTGGTTCATAGGTTCGCTATGAGTCATCTACAATTCGATGGCACCTAACAACAAAAAGACCATTAATGTAAAAATAGGATAACTAGTAAAACTAGTAAAATATAGGGATTCAAAGGGTGAAGGGGAGGATTAGGGTATGCAGGGAGGAAATCACAGGGTCTCACAATTTGGTGGGTGGGGCAGGTAAAGGAAATGAGAAAGATCCAGTGAGGATCTGGAAAGACAGAATAATGATGGACATAGTTCAATGGTGATTCATTTCATCAAACATAACGATTGTACGAAACACAATGTGAATGAAGGATAGATAGTATGAAACATAACATATACGAACTTTGTACACAAACCAATGTAAAAAAACCAACTAGAAAAATGGCTTCACTGAGTCTTCTGATTATAAAAGTAAACATGATCATTACTAAAAAATCTACAGAAGAAAATGTAAAATACTCAAGTCCAATCGGCCCATATATAGCTAACATTTACCAAGTTTATTCTTCTTTTATTATCTAATTTAATCTTCACAAAAAGCCTTTAAAAAGGAAACTATGACAAAGAAGTTTAAAAAGAGAGTTCATGATTTCTGAAAAGTAGAGCTAAGAACTAACCACCATAAGATGATAACATCTTCCCAACCTTAAGAGTGTATATGAATGTGTGTTCATAAAAGTACTTTCAAAAAGGAGATTTATACATTCCTCACTCATGAGTAAGAATTCATGAACAGTGTTTTCAGGTCACTTAACATTACCATTTTTATGACAGACTTAGACAGCTAACCTATCAATCTACTTAGTAAATTGCTAAGTAAAAGTAGGCAAGTAAATATTGTCAATAAATGAACACCATAATGTATGTAACTAACCCTTGGCCAGTTTGTGGGGAATGCTGATGGATTTTATTACCCAAAGTGACACTCTTTAGAGGATCCAGTGTCCCACAGTGAACCTACCGTGTTTCTCAAAAGGGATGTCATCTTCCACAAAGGGCTCAAAATCACCCCGCTGCTTGACCATGTAGTCCACGGTCTCCTGTCGGTGCCTGAGGTGATTACGTGAGTGTCCCTCCAATTGGTCACCAAGGGCTCTGAACAGGCAGTTGCTGTCAAAACAAGGGTGTTAACCAAGAATTTTTTAAATGAACTCACTTATGCATACCCATGCTTATTGCAGTTTTGTTCACAATAGCAAGGAGTTGGAAACAGCCCAGGTGCCCATCAACAAACGAATGGCTAGAGAAGCTGTGGTATATTCGCACAATGGAATACTATGCTGCATTAAAAACCAAGGAACCCATGCAATATTATTCAAAATGAGTGACCCTGGAGGACATTATGCTGAGTGAAATATCTCAGTCACAAAAGGACAAATACTGCATGATGCCATTGTTGTAGAAAGGGACTGATATCAGGGTCGGGGTAAGACTGAGAAAAACTGGATAAATTATGTATACTGCATTGAAACAGATGAGGGAGAGTAATTTCAAAGCAATATATGATAGCAATATATGATAGTTATCACAAGAGTCCAGAATTAAGGGTGCACAGTGGAGTGTACCTGGGGTGGTGGGAGGGGTGCGGGGGGATTGTATACCAAAGAAAGAATTTTTCTTTTACTTTTTCAAAGAGAGGAGCAAACTTGGCAGGGAGGGATAAGAGGGCTGGGCAGGGAGAAAAGTGTAACAATGAATGAATGGAAATCCAGAATCTCTATAACTGTCCATTAAAATTATGAAAATAAAATTTTTTAAAAAATGAACTCACTTCATTTAAAACAACGTGTGGGGGGGTTTTTATGCTAGGCCATCTGTGGAACTCTCACACAAGAAAAGACAAAAGAAGGCCTCAACTATGATGGTTCAGCATTCTTCCTCAAGACTGCAGATAGAAAGGTAACCCTATTACCTTTTTGAGACATAATGAACAAGGATGTTATCCCCACTTACCAACTGAATGGCTTATAGGAAAGTCATTATAACTCCTGGGCCTCCAAAACTTTAATTACATATGCATTTGGTGATATACTAACCATCCGAAGACAACAGTCCAGCCCTGTCATTCATTCTACCCGGAAGAACTGTGATTCCCAGATGTTCTTCTAAAATGTTAAGTCAACCAACCTATTGTCTTCTGAAACACGTTTTGCCACAGTTGCTCAGCTAACCAATCATTCATTTAACAAGGAATACCCCAAAAAGAACAATTTGTCAACCTCTTAACACAAGCAATTCAGTAATATTACAGTGGCAAAAACCATGAAAAGAAAAGCATTTGGACTACAGAACTGTACTACAAAACAGTTAAGAACTCTAGTGGCATAGTCCATATAGCATGCGGCACTAAATGCAGACATCTCCAGCATTTAAGTTCACCAGAAGCTCCTCAGGAGGAAGGTGGGAACTTCCCCCCTTTACAATTTATAGCCTCAGAAATCCAACAGAGGGTCACTAGAAGAGTTGGAATCAGTTCAATGATAATAATCATATGAGCGGCATGATAACACATGTTGTCCTCTCCTTCCCTATACCTCATCCCTCATATCCAGGGAGCAACAATGTTACAGTTATTCCTGTCAAGTGACAACTAAAACATAATTTTTTTGTTTCTGGACCTAAAATTAAAATGTTCACAATTAACTTCGTTATCTTTAGTTTTAGATCCCTCAAAGACTTGTAAAATTCCAAACTGTATCACTAGCAGAGAAGCCCAGGTACAGAGACTAAAACAAACACAATCTGGTACCCTTAAAGCAAAAGAAATCAGCCAGTCTGAAGCCAAAAGTTACCCAGTTTCACATCAATGGTTTACTTTTCATATAAAACACTATGATTTTCTACATCTAAAATATCAATCCATCATTTTTAAAATTTCTTCAGACATAAAAAGGAGCCCTGGTGGTATGGTATTTAAGCAATTGGTTTCTAATCAAAGATTCACTATTTGAAAACCCACCAGCCACTTCACAGAAGGCAGATGGCAATCTGCTCCCATAAAGAACTGGAGCCTCAGAAACTTTATAAGGTGATTCTACTCTGTTTTATAAGGTCTCTATGAGCCACGTATCCCCTACAGAACGAAATGGTTTCCACCATTCTGAGAACAACTGAGCTAGAGATTTATGTGACATATTTCATATTTGATTTTAAAATAAAATCCTCCCAAATTCTGTTGTCGCTGATCTAGAAAAGTCAATGTACTTAATTTTTGTCTAAAAGATCCCCCAGATGATTCTACTGTGCCACAGGAACAATCACTGAGCAGGCACAAGACAGAGAGATGCTTTCAGGTGATGCAAGTACAAATGCTTAATTGTTTGTGCCAGCCAGGCCATTCTGAGTCATAACAACTCTACAGGACAGTTGTTCACTCACTCATTGTCAGAACCCACTCATAGTTAACCTTGTAGCAGGTTTTCATAAGCTGTGACTGTCTATCCTACTCTCATGGAGCACTTAGTGAATCTGAACAGCCTGGATTTGGGTTAGCAACACAAATCCTTACCCTTTAAGCCACATGTTGTTGTGTATCACAGAGTCAGAACCAACACACAACTGACATTCCGGCAGGTTTTCAGAGACAGTTAATCACACAGGAGAAGACAGCTCATCCTTCTCCCGCAGAGCAACTGGTGGATTTGAACCACATGACTTCGAGATCGTAGCACAGCATCTGACCACTAGGCCAGCAGCTAGAGGTCCCAAAGGGCAGAGTTCCCCTAGGCTGTGATCCTGACAGGAAAAGATCTCTTTTACCATGACATGGCTGGTGGGTTTAAACCACCGAACTTTTGATTAGCAGCCAAGCTCTTAACCATTTCAAGACCTGGGCTCCTTAATGGATTATTCAACATTCACTGCTATTGAATTGAATCTGACTTAAAAGACACTCTCTAGTATTGGATCTCCAAGGCTGTCAACTGTAATTGGAAGGCACTGCTCATCTTTCTATCACAGAGTGGTTGGTGGATTTGAACCAAAGATGACAAGTAGGTTTTGAGTTAACACTCCATCTAGCTACAGATTACATCATCAGGCCAAGTACTGTGATTATGCGTCAAAGCCATCAGCCTCTCTGGCAGAAAACATATGCAGTCTCCTCTCATACAGATTAATAGCCTTGGAAACTGAGGGAGGGTCACAACAAGTAAAAATTGGCTCAAAGGCAGTGAATTAATAATTAAACAAGATTATCTGTGAATGTCCATCTCTAAGTACGTATGGCATTAAAAAATAACTAATATAAATAAAACAACTTGTTTGGGACAAAGAGAAATTATTAAAATTAGTCATTATTTTTAAAAAGCTTTCCCCCAAAAAATGTCTTCCTTTTTTTAACACCACCAATTTGTAATTAAGGGTTACATTTAACAGGTAAAACTACATCAAGAGAGATGCTAACATTGTACTGCCTAGTCCACTTAGAGATTCTTTTCACACAATATTCAATCATCTATTTAAAGACAACATGAAAGTTAAACTATTTCTTTGTTCTCAAATTAAATCCCATTTATGAGTTCACCAACAAAGAACACATCACATATGAAGGATGTTCATAATGCATTAAAAAAATCTTATAATTAGTACCTCAAATAGTCTATATTAAACCGACTCAATTTATGCAAAAGCTACATGAAACAATACTATCTTAATACTTTCCAAATATCTGCAGATTGCAGGATGCTAAAAAATATCACAATGGCAACAGTAAATTGTTCATAACACAATGCTATCTTGGAAAAAAATTCAAGTGGCAGGGTGAGGGATAAAGGAGGAATGGAAATGGGAAGCACAAGGAAGAAGTGGGATGAGTAATGTTACATTGTGGGATGCTACTTGATGTCAACAAATGTAATGTGTATGGACTGTCAGATGGAAATCAATTTGTTCTGCAAATTTTCACTCAATGTGGATGAACTGTTGAATGAAAAATTGATCTGCTCTATAAACTTTCATCTAAATCACAATAAAAACCTTAAAATGTTGTTTCAGGCTACTCAATATTATAACTGATTAAGAATCAAATGAGAAAAGAGACTGACAACGATTTTTTTCTATTACCACAATTTTGTTGTCTTTCAGAAAGTACAAGTATTAGCAAACAAAAGACTTTGCTAACACATGTCAGCCCATTACACATATAGGAAGCACCAGTCACTACACAGTGGCAGCACCAGTCATCAACATCCAAAAGCGTCACAAGACTGCAAATAGCTGAACCAGTTCGTGTCAAACTGTTCACTTTGTCAACAGAAGCCAACATAAGGAGAATTCAAAGAATAAAACCTCATCACTTTCTCTATTTTTATCCAGTGATTAGAGATCTCAGAAGTGAGAGATGTCAGTATTTCAATCTAAATGGGTTCTGCAGCCTTCCAGTCCACTACTTCTATCTTTGTACCCTATACTCTTGTCCTCCTGAACAAAATGACAAGTTAAAAAAGGTCAAAGGCTCAACAGGATAGAATTGAGGATCCAGAAATTAATCCGTCTATCTATGGTCAACTGATACTCAACAAGGAAACAAAATCTATCAAATAGAGAAACGACAACCTATTCAGCAAATGGTGCTAGTAAAACTAGGCCTGCAGAAAGCTGAAGCAGGACCCACACCTCTTACCATAAACAAAAATCAACTTAGATGGATCAGAAAATTAAGTGTAAAACCTCAAACTATAAAGAGCATAAGAGAAAAATTTGGACCAAGTGTAGAAAGCCTCGCCAATAGTATAAAGAGGCTATCAAATACAGCCAAAAATACACAACCAGGTGAAAATAAAATTGGTAAATGGGACCTTCTAAAGATTAAATCCCTGTGCACATCAAAAACTTTTTCCAACAGAAAAAAGAAAATCAGACTGAGGAAAAAACTTTTGGCAATACTATCTCAAACAAGGGTCTCAAACAAAAGTCTACAGAATCTTACAGAGCCTCCACAAGACTGCTAACATAATTACAAAATGGGCAAAAAGACATGTAAGTCGTTTTCACAGAGGAAGAGATTTGGGTGGCCAAAAGACACATGAAGAAATGCTCAAAATCACTAACTAGTAGAGAAATACAAATCAAACCCACAATGAGATACCATCTCACTCCAGTAGCGGTGGCAAAATCTAGCAGTACAGCAAGTAATAAATTCTGGAGAGGATGGATAGAGAACTCTTACACATTGTTGGCAGGATTGTAAAATGGTATGATCAATCTGGAAGGCAGTTTGGCATTTCCTCAAAAAGGTGAACACAGAAATTCCATATGACCCAGCTATTCCACTGCTTAGAATATACCCCGAGAAATTTAGGACTGAGACACAGAGACTTGTACACCAATGTTCATAGCAGAATTATTCACCATCATAAGAACGCGGAAACAGCCCAAATGTTCAACCAGAATCGAATAAATTGAGAAGTTGTGGTACATTCACAGGATGGAATACCACGCAGCACTCAGGAGCAAGGACTTCAAAAATTACTACATAACTTGAGAATGGAGAGTATTACAGTGAGTGAACTCAGTCTCACAAGGACAAATACTGCATAAGACCACTACTGTAGAAAAAGAAGGTAACTACTAAAATGTGTGAGTCTCCAAGGGGGAGGTAGGAGCAGAGGGGTGGAGTGGGAAAATTACAAAGAGTTGCACAATTTAGCGGATGGAGGGATAGGTGGGTCAAGGAAAGGAGAAAGATCCGGTGGGAATCTGGAAAGACAGGGTAATAATGGTTGGCATAGTTCAATGGTGTTTCATTTTATAAAATATAATTAATAGAAATGATTGTACAAAACCCAATGTGAATGAAGGGTACTGTGAAACACCATGTGCATGAACTTTGTATGCAAACCAGTATTTTTAAAAAAAGTCAAAGGCACTACTGTTGATGTTGAGTCAAAACGACTCATAGTTGTCCCTCTAGCGGGTTTTCAAAGGCTATAAATCGTTTTATACTCTACCTCTCAGTCTACAGTATTTTATTTCTCATATTTTTTTTCAGTTTACAAAGACTCTGGGTTTCCATTCATTCATTGTTGCACACTTTCCTCTCTACCCACCCCTACCTCTCAGTTTGCTTTTCTCTTAGAAAAGTAAAAAAAAAAGTTCTTTCATTGTTATACAATGGGGGGGGGGATTACCCCCCCAGTCCACTCCGCTATGCAGCTTTCATGATGTACTCCTATGAATCCTTCAAGACCTTAAGTAAGATGTTAGTCTTTTCTGATCTTTAAACTTTCATCCAAATTATTTACTTTCATTCTTTCACATATGGGGACCTCTGGTGGTCTAGTGGGTAAAGAGTTGTACTATCAATACTCAAAGCCAAGTAGTTCAAATCCACCAGCTCTCAAACACAAGTAGCTAAAATCACCGGCTGCCCCTCAAGAGCAAAGTGGACAATCTACTTCCCTGTGATTTACAGTCTCTGAAAATATGCTGACAGTAAATCATGAGTGAGCTTCAACTTTACAGCACTGAACAATTTTCACACATGTAAAGGCTACATGATCTACAATGAGGTCAGTCACTCTGCTAGCAATTGTGTTTGTGTACTCTTCTGTTTTAAAATGTTCTCATTTTTCTCTTTTAACACAGGAAACACCAACACATATAAAATCACATAAACAAAAATTCTTTGGGTTCCCATTTACGAGTCTAAAGATGCTCTGGGCCAGAAGTTTGAGACTGCCTATTATTCATGTTTATCCCTTATTACTCTATCAATTGATGTATTAATACCTTGTTCAACCAATGTTTGCTGAATGAGCTGAAATACCTCTCTTAGGAAGGGGAGAAGAGGGACTGAGTAAAGGAAATGTCCCAACTTACCATTACTTTCTGAAATCTCTTAAAACTACAATTCTCTGTGTTTTCTGATTCTTGCTCCTAAGTCTGTAGAGTACTTCAGTTACCTAAAGATCCTTAGTGGCAAGAAGCTGCAACTACTATCCCAGAGGTGCACGGTTCGAATCCACCAGATGCTCTGCCAGGGAAGGAGGGGCAATCTCCTCCTGTACCAGTCAGATCTGATTTGACGGTACACACACACAAAAATAATAAAAATAAAAAAATTAATAAAAAAAATAAAATAAAGATCCTGATACTGGTAGGATAAGGTCCAGGAGAGTAAATTCACTTACAAGGATTAGCATCACACCAAGCCCATTCATTGTATTCCACAGGTATCTTGGTTGATGTAGGAGTCTTACTTAGGATTTGATTAGAATAAATAAGGCTGTGAATGGTTAATAAACTTTGAATGCATACTTGATTCTAAGAAAAACGTCCTTTTAAAGAAGCCTTGCCAAGTAAACAGCTGGCCTCTATCTATATTCATACCATGTATTTGTTGTTCTTGTTACATGCCACTGAGTCGCTTGTGACTCATAGTAACCCTATGTACAACAGCCCTAAACTCTGCTCTGTCCTGTGCCAATCTCACTGTCTCCGACACACCCATCCCGATTACCCCAGTCACAGAATCAATCCACCTCCTACAGGGCCTTCCCCTCCTGTGCCTGCCCTCGACCCTCCCAAGTATGATGTCCTCCGAGGACCAGTCTCTCCTTACAACATGACCAAAGTATGTCAAAGCCCCAGAATCCTTGCCTCTAAGGAGCCGCCCGGTTTAATCTCTCCAGAATAAACCTGTTTGTTTTCCTAGCAGTCCATGGTACCCTCAGTACTCTTCTCCAACACCAAAGCTCAAAGACAGTAATTCTCCTCCTATCCTCCCTAGTCATTGTCCAACTCTCTGATACATAACAAGTGATTGCAAAGACCATGGCCTGTATCAGACACACCTTAGTCTCCAGAGAGATGCCACTGCTCTTCAGTACTTTGGAGAGGTCCCTAACAGCAGACTTTCTCATTGCAATACGTCTTTTAATTTCCTGGCTGCTGGTGCCAAGAGTGTTGATTGGGGAGTCAAGCAAACTAAAGCTGCAAACAATCTCAATCTCTTCACCATCCATCCTGTTGCTGCCAATTGATCTTGAAAGCCTTCTATGTAGTAGGCTCTGTGCTAGGTGGTAGTGGACAAGATGAAATCAAGTTCTAATAGCAACATAAGCGAAAACAGTATGCTAAGAGATAGTTCTGTTCACCTTTTGTGAACAGAAATACCAATGGCCTGTGTGTAAGCGGTTCACAAACGGTCCTGACTAACAAACAGCCATGTAATGAAAGAAAACACCTTTCTTCACTCGGTCAATTCAATATCTTTAACTTCATCCTATTCTTCCCTCTGCCCAATCAAACGAAAGGAGGAGAAACATCTGCCAGGAGTTACCAACACACACGGTCTCTTCCTGAGTCAACCAGGAACCCCCTTTTATTTCGGGATACGAGCTGTTCTCCCCTTTTCCATCTTTCTCTCCATGAAGCCGCTTCTCCTTCCCTCATTCCCTTCCCACTCCATTTATTAATTCATCCCAAGTTCCCGAAAAGAGCTGGGCCAGGACCCCACGTCAAGCCCAAAGCAAACCTGGGCACACACCTTTCTTTGCTTCACTAACCTAACTTCTCAACTGTAAAGGGGGCAATGTTATTAAAAAAAAAAAAAGACTCAAAGAGTAAGTATATCAAATGGAATGTCCGCCTCTTTCAGCTTTTCTCATGGTATTTATGACTGGGGAACGCGCTGTCCTGTGTTCAGCTCTCAGCCTAAATGTCACTCCGCAGGGAGGCCCTCTGGCATTTTCCTAGCACCACCTGCCACGACCTGGACAATTCGGCATCGGCGCGACCACCTCGCGGTGAGGGGCACGCGTGCCCGGCGTTCGGAACCGCGGCCCGCTCCCGGCTGACGTTCGGGGTCGCCTGAATGAATGGCTCGACGAGAGCCATGCCCCGCGCGTCCCCCGGGCGCCGCCTCCCGCGCTCCCGGGCCCGCCTCACCCGTCCCCCGGCACCTCCCGCAGCTTCAGCCCCAGGGCCTGCAGCTGGTTGGCGAAGCTGACGAACTCTTCCTCGCAGCCGCCGCCGCCCCCAGGCTCGGGCCGGTTCCGCCGCTCCTTGGCCAGGGCCCGCCGCGCCGCCCGCTCGTCCCGCTTGCGTTCGGCTTCGGCTTTCCGGCTGCTGCTGCCCGGCCGACTCTTCGCCGCCTGCTTTCGGGACATGGCCGTGGTCCCGCGGCCCTCAGCCGCAGCAGGGAAAGCCAAAAAGGCTCTCCGAGCTGCCGCCTCAGGTGCCAAGAAAGCGGAGAACCCCAAATGACTGAGCGCGGCCACTCGGACGCCGAGCCTGCGCGTGCGCCGGCGTCAAGGTCACGTGCAAAAGCCCCGCCCCTCTCGCTGTGGGGCTGGGGGCTATGAGCCATAGAGAACCGGCCAGGGAGAGATAGAAGGGCACCCATTGTTGTTTATTCTATTATTCCCTCTAGTGGTGGGTGGTATTGTAAGTCAGACGAGGTGGGCCCAGATAAAGCAAAGGGTTTCCGGGAAAGGCTAACGTGAGAAATAGAGTGGTGGGAGAAGAAAGCTAGAAATAGGAAAAAACTAAAGTATTTCAAACTCTTGTTTTGAGCCTGCATTTGGGATTTGTTGTTGTTGTTATGTGCTGTCGAGTCGCCTGCGACTCATAGCGACCCTATGTACAACAGCCCTAAACTCCGCTCTGTCCTGTGCCAATCGCACTGTCTCTGACACTCCCATCCCAATT